GCAGCCTGAGTCCTGCAGAGCTGGTGCTTCCTGTACTGACTTGCCAAAACATGGGCTGGTTTGAGCTCGGTTGCTATTGGCTTGTGCTGGCTGCAGAGAGGTAGCAGAGCTGTCTCTGACGCCCACCAAATCACAGCATTCTGTCATACTTTAAGCACATAAACCTGGTACTAAGAGCATGATCAAAAATGCCTCAGAAGCAAATGAGACAGTTCTACTAATCTTCAAATGGGATAACAAATTAAGTGAAGATCTAATCTCTATTTTTTGCTCTGCATTCAGACCTCACAGTTTAGTGAATTCTAAGTAATAATAAGAAGGGCAGTCCAGCAGACACTTCAGATCACTGAAGTACAGATACTTCAGTTCTGTACTGAAGTACAGACAGGAATCCAAGTGCACAAGAAACAAAAAGAAATAAGCAAGGTGTTTGTATACAGATAGTGGGAACATGAGTAAGAAAATGGAGGAACCTTACCTACTTGTGCAAGATGTCTATACAGAAAATCTAGGGGTAATAAAAACTTAGCAGAAACAATAACTGGAATCACTGAGTATAGGTTCTTCAGAAAGCAGGGAAATATAGCTGGTAACATTACATGAAACTGTAGGATAATTTGTGGTGAAATCAGTTATGTCAACAAAACAAATTCTGTTTGGATCAAACACTTCAGGCATGAAAAAAAGTAGTTTTTTCTAGATTTAATGTTTGTGGAAAATATCCAGGGTATCAGGTTTAATTCTGCAACATTATCACAGAGAGGAATGTAAAAAAGAAACTGTCAATAAGAGATGCTGAAGTTCACAAATTGCTTCACCAGTCACTAAACCAGCAAAAGATAGTGATAGTATAGATCTGGTTTTTGCTTTGAAATATGTAGATAAAAAACATAACCTTTAATCAAACATTCAGGCACTGAGTCCATTAACATTACATGACAAAATAAGTAATGGTCAGCAAACTTTAATAAGCCAGACAAACTAGTTAAATAAGTGAAATATTATGGGGCTTTGTGGTTCTTTCTATGAAGAAGACATCAAATTTCATCAAGTCTGACATATTGTGTTGAATCTGACAGCAGGGGACCAGGTTCAGCCATCCAGGAAGTCCCTCCAGACCCGTGTTCCTAAATTTGTCAGTTAAATGCAAGAGCCTTAAGTAAAGCAGAGGTAACTTTGAGATGGTTTGGCAACTTTTGTTGCTGTCAGTATTTTTTAACATTCTTCAACTCAATGGTGAATTTGGACATTGGCTGCCAGACAGAAGAATCTTTTCTTGTGAGAGTGTAGATGTTTGAGATGATGACCAGGTTACCTATTGCCTGCTCTACTGGGTGTCTGTCAAACCTGACACTTCCATCTAGGGAGTCCAAGTCAGATGGCTTCTCCATAAATCAACCCTCCTGGTCTCCCTTATCCCTGGACAGTAAGATAAGGTTGGTATGGTGTGTGTGCAGTTAGTACAGGGTAGTGAGGAAGACGAAATTGGGGAGAACACCTGATAGTTAGGATGTTGAAGTGGAAAAGAGAAGGCTCGGGGAGATTTTACCAATCTATGTAAATACCTGTGCAAAGAAGACGGAGCCAAGCTCTTTCTAGCAATGCTCAGTGACAAGAAAGGAGGCAATAAGCACATGTTCAGGCACAGGGGGTTCCATTTGAACATCAGAAAACACTTTTATCCTGTGAGGATGACCAAACAGTGGCACAGGCTGCCCAGAGAGGCTGTGGTGTCTAGCTTCTTTGAGATTTTCCAGTGCCACCTGGACATGATCCTCAGCAACTCATTCTAGGGGATCCTGTTTGAGCAGGGTTTGGATAAGATGACCTCCAGAGATCCCTGCTAACCTCAATCCTTCTGTAAGCAAACTCTAGTCATTTTAGTAAGTTTAATTCTAAAAGTCAGGCAAAGTTTGTTGCTGAATATAAATGTTCTGCAGAACTTCAAAGATACCCACTCACTGTGAAACTGTGATTTCTGGAGGCAGACTATGGCTTGCTTAGAAAATCAGACAGGAATTATGAAGTGGATCGCTATTATGCTTGTCCATATGCACCCATTATTATTAGAAGCAGCAGTAGAGAACAGGCAGAAAAGATGCTACAGGAACCTTTAAGGGAGTTTTCCTAAAGAAGAGAGGTTTTGAACTTTGCATTAGCATGACACTGGCTCTGTAATGCTCTTAACTTACCTCTCCCTTCCTACCAAATGCTGGGTACTTCTCTCTGTGTCAGCAATGAGGAACTCTCAGCCTGGTAAAACGAGTCAGGTTTGGAGAAACTGCAGTCAAGAGATTCATTTGAAGGATTTCTGAAACTAACCCCTTTTGTTTCTCCTTCCTGTCTCATGATCTGAAACTCTCTTTCTTCCCAGTATAACACCATTGTAGCACCTTCCTTTGAGGTGAGCTCATGCCATTGTGCTCATCACAATTTAACCTTTGGCTGTACATTCTCCATATGACAGTACAGCTCATGGGTCCTAAATGGTTCAACTGTGAGTTACAGCTTCAGAGTGTGCCCAGACATGCTATTTATGTTATACCTCAGAAACCAAAAAGAGCTTTAAAAATATTGATTCGGGAAATGCTGAGGAATTTTCTGCAGTCTTGTGAGGGATAATTCAAGGTTGTTATTTGAAGAAGTTCTTACCCAAGACCTTCTAATGCTCAGCTTTGTATGTTCAGTGACTGGAGAAAAGGGCTACTTGGCCTGTACATTTCTTGACTGCATTCCTTTTGCAAAAGCTAATTTCTTTTCACCAGAGACCTATGTAATGTCAACTAGCTTGTGTGATTTTCTGATATATGAAAACCATACTGGCTTAAGTTTTATATCATATCTAAGCTTGTCCAAATACATAAAGTGAAGAGGTGAAAACAGGCAATGCTTTACTTGCCCAACACAAAAAATTCATTTTTCCTTTTGCACTCTGCTTATGTATTGTAAGAGAGGATGAACAAACAGATTGGTCTCCTCCCACCACATAGCTGCGTTGCCAGCACTCAGGAAAATAAAGACTGCCTGGATTAAAAAGTCGCAAGGTTACTGTTAAGGCATAAGCTACTGAAATAGGAGCATGCATTGAGGAGTTCTCAGTTCATCAGAATCAATCCTATTGTGAACAATGTCAGCCTCACTGCTAATGTGGAAGCCAGGGATGAGAATGCAGGTAAGATCTTTCTATACCAGGGCATGAACAAATCACAGTGAATTGCAGCAATTGCCACAATCATTTGTACAGTGCATTTTTAATTTCTATTAAATTTTGCCTTTTGAAAACTGCTTTACTTTCAGCTGCTTGAGAGAAAAGCACTGGAGTTCTTTCAGCACTGCCTGTGAAGTGACCTTACTTCTTTCTCTTATGTTTTGAAATCTATTTATGATGCACATTTAAGAAAGCATTTGCAGCTCCTAAGGCTTATGTGAATAATATTCATAGTCATTTAAACAAGCTCCGTTAGCTTTTTTTCCCAAGACATCCTCTGAAGAAATTTTTCTCTGAATCACAATTTGTGCATATGCAATTAATTATTGTCAGGCTGTTAGATGGTCTGATCGTGTGGGAATTAACCATTTCGTTTTCACATAGAAACAGTCTTTGCCTTTTGTTGTCTCATAGAAACAGCCCTTGCACTGGCATCCTGATGATGCTCTTTTCCTCAGTTTGCTTGATTAGATCTTTTGATTGAAGTACTTGAAAGACATAATTTCATAAATACACTTGAAGCAATTCCATGAAAACCACCTCATCCTCCCTAAATCATTCTCATTTTATTGATGATTTTTCAAATGCCTTTTAAAAGGATTGTGTTGTGATGTGTCAATTATTGAACTGTGTACTTAGCAAATATCTCACAGTGTTAGGATAATGGCAGGTTAATAAGAAAATCTTCAGTTGGAAAAATATTTTAACTTCTAGAATTTTCTAACCAAACGTCCTTCTCCTTTTCTATAAAGATGCAAACTCTTTCATGACAGTGAAAACTGATTGTGGGTCATCAAACTATTCTGAATATTGTTTGTACTGATCCCTCATTTTCATTTTAATATGCACCTTAATGGTAGCTAAAGATATTTATGGCTATAAATGTATAGATCTATTCTCACAACAAGAAAGAACTTGAACTTATTTCTGAACTTTTCAGTAACAGTAGCTGGTTGGTGCATTCATATATTATCTGACTGGTAGCTCTGCTATATATGTGACAAGATTTGGAGGTAAAGGAATTATTTTGGTTTTATTTGACCAGATGATTAGGTGGAAATACTAAACTGATTTTCAGACATTTGACTGGATTTTTCTAATAGGAACCTATTATAGCTACCTAAAAAATTTGTCCTGTCATTGTCTAGAACCATCATGGCTACAGCAAAATGCCACTAAACATCTCAATGTTATGCAAGATAGGTAGTTCATGCCTAGAATTGGAAATTATGGTAGTAGTTCTGAATGTCTGATGGAAAGTAATGGCATTTAACAGAAAAATGTCAATATCATGATCAATGCAAAAAGTGTTTCTTTATGCTTATGCAGGCACAGTCTTGCATTCCAGTTCCTTATTCCTTGATTCTCAAGTCCACAAGTACTTACTATTAATTTTTTTTTTTTTTAGTTTTCACCAAACAATGGTATTTCTTGACAATACACCCTCCAAATAATCTCCCATCGTGTCTTATAAAAACAGTAATCTGTGGCCTAGACTGACAGGAATTGGAAAAATAAGGAAGAAATGTTAAGAAAAGGTGCATGTCTCTATCCAAGTTAATTTTCCAGCTGTGAGATTCCACAGAAAATAACTGGTACTGTCATTGTCTCTTTGTATTACATTTGCTGACAGACAAACTTCACCTTTTTGTCTCTATTATTTGAGTCAGTATGTTGACTGAATTTACTGTATTTTTTTGGTAGACTTCTATCTCATTTCAAAAAAAATTGCTCTGCATATCCAGTAACTGAAGTTGTCTCATGTTGTCACTGTTTGTTCTTCTCGTTCTAGGTGATGTGATTGTCTATATTAATGAAGTTTGTGTCCTTGGACATACTCACGCAGATGTAGTCAAACTCTTCCAGTCTGTTCCTATTGGTCAGAGTGTCAACTTGGTGCTATGTCGTGGATACCCTTTGCCCTTTGATCCTGAAGATCCTGCCAACAGCATGGTGCCACCCCTTGCAGTAATGGAGAGGCCTCCGGTAGTGGTAAATGGAAGACATAACTATGAAACTTATTTGGAATACATTTCTAGGACTTCTCAGTCTGTTCCAGACGTAACAGATCGACCACCACACTCCTTGCACTCCATTCCAGCAGATAGTCAGCTTGATAGCACATTCCCACCACCTGCCCATGATGATAATGTATCAATGGCTTCTTCTGGGGCCACCCAAGCTGAACTCATGACCTTAACCATTGTGAAAGGGGCCCAGGGCTTTGGCTTCACTATAGCAGACAGTCCTACAGGACAGAGGGTGAAGCAAATTCTAGACATTCAGGGATGTCCTGGTTTGTGTGAAGGTGACCTCATTGTTGAGATCAACCAGCAGAATGTACAGAACCTGAGCCATGCAGAAGTAGTGGATATACTTAAAGAATGTCCTGTTGGAAGTGAAACTTCTTTGATTATCCATAGAGGAGGTAAGTTTGGAAAGTCTGTACAATTACAAAAATGTGTGTAAAAGGTTCTAAACCATAAGACATACATATAATCACTACATCCTTGTTTGCTAGATTGGAAATTAATTTCCATGTTGCGGGAGGTAACACCATTGGTTCTGGAAAAATGTGTCTTCAATTAAGTATCCTAGGGAAAATCTTTTTTGTTGTACATTCCTTTTTGTGTTTTGAGTGTCAATGGTCCCATCTCTGTATAAGGGTAAAACTAGGGCAGTTCCTTTCACCCCATAATAGTTTGTGTGGTGTCTGCAGCAAACTCTTGTAGTCCCAAAGCAGTGCTGCAAGCTTCAGATATACTTGTATAGATTGACTCATTAATGCAGATCAAAATCAGAGCAATCTATTAGCCCTCTACAAGGATACTGGTTTTCATAAGCCATTTTGCCTCCCTTTCCTTCATTGTAAAAATTCTGTACAACAGTTGTTTGGTTTTTTTCTTTCTTAACAACAGAGATCCATGGTGTTTGTTTCTCTGATTTAAAAAAATAGTTTCTAGCAACTTAGTTTTTCTGACCAGCCTGACACAGTAAGTTTGAATATTTACCACTGGAAGGGGAGAGTCAAGATTTACCTGTAAACAAGCAATAACAACAGAAGAAGTTTTAAAAACTTGACAGTGATAAGTTATTTCAATAGCTTTTAATATTTCAGCCAAACAAAATTTCTTTGATGGTTTGAGATGAGCATCCATCATAATTTATTATTACCCGACGTGAATAATGATTGGATTTTTTTAATTAAATATCTTTGTTTCTCTAAAAGCGTTCATATGTCACTTAATGTGCATGACTGTGCTTCAAAAGAAAAAAAAAAAGAAAGGATTCTATGTACGAACTACTTTCCTTCTGAAGAGTAGAAACTGGGAAGTGAAGCCTTAATGTTTGCATATGCCAAATGTTTGTCCTTATGAAACCTACAAATCCTTAGGAAGAGGAATATAGTAACATTTTATCACATACAGAAGTAATAAACATGAGGTGATTAAAATATCTATAGATGCACATTGTTAATAAAATATTTTTCATATATATATATAAGAATGCTTTATGAAGACAAAATCTGACATTTCTTTGGAATGAAAACAAATTAAGAGTGATAAGTAAATTGGAGTCATTGTAGTATATAAACTTGGAGAAAGTTAATTCTTGCAGAGGTGATGTATTTGTTGGTATTAAATCTGTTTTTACGTAACATCCATTAAGAATCTGGAACAGTGGAGTAAGCAACTTTTTTTTTTCTGAAGAAGTTGACAAATTAGGGAGAATAGCATACTCAAAAAAGAATATAAAGGGGATTAGAAGGGCTAGTGTAACCCCAAAAGGTGGAATTTTATTTAGAAAAAGGACCACTAATCCCCCTCTAGAGGAAAATAATTTATAACACCAGTCTTCAGAGAGAAGTGGAGTGTGAAATCCAGTATGCTGAACAAACCTGAGCAATAATAGACAGCAAAATAGATATTTCAGCAATTGGTGCAGGACAGTAGCAAAAAACAGTAGGAAAAAAACCCTGTAGCAGCAACATACTCAAGCCCATGAGGATAATTGCTCTCTCTCAAGAGAATTCCTTCTTAGAGCATTGATTCATGATCGAAACAACTTGATCAACATGACAGTTTAACAAGTTCTGGTACATTAACTGAGCTGCGGTTATTTTCTACACATCACTGTGGCAGGTAGGAGATACTACACTGAGCTCAATACTCGGTAAAAGCAGTGTGTAAATCTACACCATCTGGTCTTTTCTCAGGCCAAACACTGAGGTACAGCTGACAGAAATGTTAGGTCCAAATGCGGTAACATTTAACCCTCTGTTACTGGGGCAGGAGGTGGTTGGTTGCTTTAGAGAATGCAAGGAAAAGAGCATGTTTTGTTCATGGTAAAACAATGACCAAGACTAAAGCAACTGTTTGGAAGTACTGCAGTGTCATTTAACTTAATGGGATGACGCAGAACAAATGCAAGTTTGCTATCAGAAATTTTTGTATATCAGAAATAATGACTATACCCTAGTGGAAGGTTGTGAGACTCTGAAATTAAAAAAAAAAAAAAAGAAGAAAGCTCACTTGTTTGAGTGATTCAAAAGAAGTGAAAAAATAGAGTGTATGAGTCAAACCTATTCTACCTAAGAGATGGCTAAATCATAGCTTAACACAAATATGAGAACAGTTTTAAGATTACAACCTGGGTTTGATTTTTGGTTTTGGGGGTTTTTTGGGTGTTTTTTAGTAAATTCATAGGAAAAGGGAATTTATGTGACTAAATATACACCTATAATTCAGGTTTACTATACCTATGCTAGTCGTCATGTCTGCTTTTATAGTCTCTGGGCAGAAATAAGCTTTTCTATGGTGTAATTAATGTAATTCCACTGTAGATATTTCAAATAAGTCAGGTATACCTAGGTATATCCTTAAAGTATATATTCTGAATGACTGACTATAGAGGGAATTGAGGATGACTGTTTCAAATGCATGTGTCTATCTCACGTGTTACAAATAAGAAACAGATGATAGGATTAGGTCATGTGAAATAATCTGAACACAAAACAAAATTCAAGTACCTAGAGAAACCTGCTTTGATTCTAAAATATTTAATCTGTGACACCAGTAAAGCAAGGCATACTTTCTCATTACTCATGGATCCAATTTTTATTTTATTATTTCTGATGTGTAATGACACTTGAACAATGCCATCCTTTTCCATCATTACCCTATGCATCCTGTCTTTAACGTCTCATTTTTAAGATTAAGACCGAAGAGCTGTTCCTGCTTGTGGATGAGGAAGGCTGTGTTTTGCATAAGGTTGTGTGTTGCCTTGTAATGTGTTCTGTCTCTGATATGAATATGGCCTGACTGCATAGTTCACAGTGGCAAACTCATTTCTGTAAGTGACTTACTTTCTCTCTCATCCAGCAATCTTATCTACATTGCAGACAAGAAACAGATCGACATTGACTGAGATATATTCTCACAGCATCTCATACTGGAAAAAAATACTCCCTTGGATGGACATAGTTTGCATGCTACAGCATTTAAAAAAACCATTGTCCCTCAATCTTAGAAGCTCAACAGCCAGAGTATGCAGGGGAAGGAAAGGTCTGCATGTTTCAAAAAGATGGGGAATAGCAATACTCAAATTTAAAGAGGCCACTAAAAAAACCTCTCTGAACCAACACCAGAGACTTGTCATAGGTTACAACCAACTGGAGGAAGTCCAACTGAATTCATAGTCTACTCACTTTAAAATTTCTAAAGCAGAAATAGCAATTTATCTGCTTGTTACAAAAAAAAATAAATAATGGAAATAATATTATTGTCTATTAAAAAAAATAGAAAGCGGCTCTCTAGCACTGGTTAAACATCTTCCTACCTTCTTTCTGTTTATTAGACAGGATCTTTGGTAAACACAGATGCACCAAAATAGTTCTGTTTCTTTATATCTGTTTTTGCTGAACAGACTGAATGTCTCTATTGATTACTATAAGCTGACAGATGTGTTTGTTCGGGGGAAAGAAAAAAAAAAAAAGAATGGAAAAGGTAGTGGAAAAGCGTTTCCTAAACAAATGAAAAAAATAATAGGGAAAGAAAATAAAGTAAAAGAATACTCAAAAAGATTTATTTTTTTCCAGCTTTACTTCAACCTTCACACTTCATCCTCAGTTTCTGCAACAGACTTCATTGAGTATAGGCTGCTGAAATAGTGTGGAAGAGCTCTCAAAAATCAGTCTTTCTGAAAGTAGATAGAGAATAATTTCTACATTAGTCCAGTACTACTGAAAAACAGCACTTAGTGGTTGAAGTGGTATGTACCAAATTTATGTAGAGCAAAATAATCACTAATGAGGACATCAAAAACTGGTTTTGGCATATTCTGCTAAATGAGCTATCCATGTACCTGGCATATGCCATCTCTTTTGGGAAGTACTTTTGAAATATATGAACCTATAGACAGCAGCCCAGCGCCAGAAGTGTTCCCGTCTAAAAAAGAACTGACAGATTCAAATGCAGATCCATCAAGAATATATAAAAAATACTGTTGTTAAGGAAACCTGCAGACAACCCCGAACTGACAACTCATAGCAGGTGTCGTAAGTGAAACATGAAAACTAAATGCAAAAAGTGGGAGCCTGACAAAGTTCCTACGTCAGATAGCTATTTTATAATCAAGGAATCAGGGAACGGTATAATCCAAACTGGCTCTGACAAACTGGGGCTGTTAGTATAAAATGGAGCCAGAGAAGTGATGCACTGTCCACACTGTTTAGTTGTCCTGGGACTGGACTAAGTCAGCTGCCAGTTTCATCATGACACTCTACGGGAGATAGTGTGGGCCACATGCAATGCTCAAAGTCAAGATGAGGAGGGAGAATTTAACTATGAAGTTGTAAACTGTGTGAATAAAAGAAAGACCAAATATCTTTCTCATATTTTGTATAAACCCCAGTAGAAGCGTGTAATTCCTTAAATCACTAAGAGATACCAGTACATCACACAAAGCATCGGCAATTTTCAAAACAGACAGAAATTTCACAAAAAAAAATCTCTGAATATTCTAGTTGATAAATCCAGCCACTCAAAATGAGCACATTTCAATAGATGGAATCCTACATCCTCAGTGCAATTTCCACGAACTTATCTCAGATTTACCTTTCTACCACAGAGACAATTTTTTTTGGTCCAGGCTTACTATAGGATGTGTTTCAATTCTTCCTCAGCTCAATCTTCTTTTTCTCAAAGTTTTGTTGTCTCTTGGGCAGGCTGCACAAGATAAAGCTGCTGCTATCCTCCTAGTCTGGCCCAGGAATTTCTGATCTCCTGATTCCATGACCTCAGCCCACCACTGATGTCTCTATAGCTTTTACTCTGATTCTGCAGTTCTTCATTCAAAATATTAACAGAGTACCTGGTGCAAACTGGAGAGCCTGTATCTGATGGCTTGCTCATCCCCAGTTCAGAACTT